TTGTTCTGGGAAGAATTATGATTGCTCAGCTAGGTGTTGTAGTGTAGGCCTGTAATACCAGCATTCTGGGAGACAGAGGAGGAGGATCGGAATTCCAGACCAGCCTGGGCAACTTAGCAAGACCCTTTCTCAAAATGGGCCGTCAGTCAGTGGTAGAGCACTTGCCTAGTACGTGTGAGACCCTGGCTTCAACCCCCAGCTGTACATAAATAAGTGAATAAATACTGTAATAACAAAAAGGGCTGGGCAGAGTGGCACACACCTGGAAGCCCAGCACTTAGGAGGCTAAAGCAGGAGGACTGCGATGAGTTCAAGGCCAATCTAGGCTACCCAGTGAGTTCAAGACCCTGTGTATAAATAAATGGGATGGTGACTATACCTTAGTCTGAAGGTACTGTGGTTCAACCAGTACCACAAAAAAAGTCTTCCTGTCTGAAGATCTTACCGTGTTAAGCGATTTTGAGTTCTATTTAAATCAAACATTTGTATGCTGGAAATACCAAAAAGCCATCAAAATGTTTACAGGAGGAGAAAAGGGTTTTTGTTACATTTTAAAAGCCTGGAAATGAACCAAAAGCGGAGAGAACTCAGCTTTTTTACTTAAACCTGGAAATAGCCAGGCGTGGTGGCCGTGCCTGTTAATACTAGTACTCAGAATGAGGCAGGAGGCTCGAGCTCCAGGTTGAAGTACATAACAAGACCTTGTCTCAAAAATGAACCCCAAAATACCTTTTACCTGCCAACCCTTTCCCCAAGATTTGAGACTTGTAATAACACATCTGTAATGTGGATTCAACAACTAGTCAGGTTAACAAATTTTGGAGTAAACTTCTGTAACTCAGGAGTAACTATTTAATCAGCCTTGGAATAATGCAGTTAGTACTGTAGGTGCTTCTCAAGTAATGATGGAGTTACGATCCGATAAACCCAGTGAGACTGAAAATGCATGTAATATACCTCATCTACCAAACCCCATAGCTCAGTAACACAGCACACATTAGAATATTAGTTGTTTACCCGCAGGACGCAAGGGCTGACTGGGAGCTGTGGGTCACTTCTATTGCCCAGCATCACCAGCAAGGACCCTACTTTGTATCACTAGCCAGGAAATAAATCAAAATTTGAAGTTGAACTTCTGAAAACAAAACAGCTTTAACACCATTATAAAACTGAAAATAAGTCGAACCACTCTCCTCAGGAATCATCTCTCATGTCTTTAGAAGTAGGAAACCACACATTTTTCTTGACTTATAACCTGTTCCTTCCCCTCTATTATGAAAAATTTACTGAATCTTCCACATGTATAAAAACATCATTAGTAAAAGACTAAAGAATATATTGTCTTTTATAGATAGGTAGAAAACCAACCCCTATTTGAGAGTTGAGAAGAAATACATTCTAATTTACTAATGGACAATTGTAGATAAAATTGTCCACAGAAAGCAGAGGATGAGGTCACTACTAGAGATGTTGGCCTAAGGAAAAATTGAGAGTATGGAAAGACAAACTATTTTTGGCGGCATTTTTGTTTTATTTATTGCTTCTGTACACTCCTTAGCAAAGGGGTACCTCTAGGTATGACCTGTTAAGCCTTTCCACAGAGATGTTCTACAGGTAGCTCAAGTTCAACAAGCCAAATGAAAATTACTTTCCTCTGTAATTCCAATTCCGCTGCCCAGTTGCCTAATTGCTTACTTTGTCCTCCTAGTCACTTAATTTAAAAGCCTTTCCCCCAATCCACTAAGATGCTCAACTACACCTCCAAAATAGCCCCCCAAAATAAGTCTCTCTGTTCCCTCTGACAATGTCAAAAGGCCCTTTTCCTCTTGAGCTACTAAAATATGCAAGTGATCTGTCTCAAGTATTCTCTTCCCAAAATGTTCTTCATATCTCAATCAATTTTTCAAGCAATTCATTCTCTTCCTCCTCCCTCATAAACCTGATGACTTGCCATGCTTTATAAAAAAAAAAAGCTGACTCTTCAGCACAGCAGTCAAGTTCTTTAACATTCTTACAATATAACTTGCAAAATATTAACTCTTCTATTTCTCAACTGGACATTCTACATCTCTTTACAACCCTACTTGCTCCCCCTTTTTTTTTTTTTTTGGGTTTTTCTCCGGTAGCAGGAACCAAACTCACGACCTTGTGCTTGCCAGGTAAGCATTTTGCCACTGAGCTAAATCCCCAGCCCCGCTCCCTTTCTTTTGAGACAGGATCTCACTATGTAGTTCAGGGTGGCCTTGAACTGGGGGAGATCCTCCTGCCTCAGCCTTCCAAGTGCTGGGATTACAGGCATCCCTTTCATCTTTTACTGTTATGTATCAAACAGGTGACTTTTTCTTCAAGGCCCAACTCAATGCTTCCTCCAACCCCACCTAGTATTGTGGATTGAACCCAGGGCCTTCACACTGAGTTTACATCTCCCTTAAAGTTTTTATTTTGAAGCTCGGTGTGGAGACACATGCCTGTAACCCCAGCACTCTGGGAGGCCTAGGATCAGTTTGAGGCCAGCCTAGGCTACAGAGTGAGTTAAAGGCCACCCTGAACTATACAGCAAGACCGTCTCTGTAAAAAACAATTTTAATTTTGAAATAAGGTGTTGCTCAGTTGCCCAAGACTGGGCTTGAATTTAAGCTCTTCCTACCTCAGCCTCCCAAAGTGTTGGGATTACAGCTTACAAGCACACCTGCCTAATGTGGCTTCCAAATAATTTAAATCAAGTACCAGGAAAAAGAAACTGCTGCTCGGTGAAGTGGTTCTGGATGCCGGTAATCTCAGCTACTAAGGAGGCTGAGGTAGAACTGTAAATCCAAGCCCAGCTGGAGTTACACAGTGAGACCAGCCCTTGCCACCACACGCCCCCTCTGCCCCAAAATGCTGGGAGTATAGAACACTGGCCTAGTACTCAGGAGGCCCTGCATTCGGTCCTCACGTTCCAAGAGGAAAAATATACGAACTATTTTTCCCCAAGCTGAGCATTACTGGATTAGCATTAGTACAGCATGCTACTTTTACATTATTATTTATACTAATACATGGAAAGAGCTGATTATATTGTGCGAGGCCCAAAACCTGAATGCTGCACCTAAGGATAGCTTGCCTCACATTTCAGTCTTTTAGCTTATAAACTATACAAACCACTGCAAAATTTGTATTAAGAACTATGTGAAAGTTTGAAAATTGAAAAGAGTGGTTCCTGTTAACCTTTAATTTGATCTTTTGCAGGCTTTTCCTCTTCCCAACCAATGAAGACATTAACAAAATACTTAGCACCAAGATTAATGCAAGAGCAGCTCTTTCCATTATGTCACTGTCGATGGGTGCACAAACCTGGTATTGAAGTGTAACTCACCTCCTAAGTTCAGTGCACGACAGTATCTCACACTGACACTCCTTCTCCAGTGCGGTGCCAACGATGCAGCAGCGATTTTTCTACTCACACTTACGAAGCTTTTATACCTTTGCGACTGAGTCCTTTTCGCCACACTACTAGTTTAAATGTAGGCCTGAAGCTGCTGACTACAGCACACACTGTTGTGCTTCCAGTCACAAAAATACATTGAAGATGTGTATTAAGGGATTCCAGTGAGAAAAATAAAAGGTAGCTTGACAATGGACATTTTAGGAAAACATCAGTTATTCAACTTTTTAATTCACTAATACCTTTTCCTTGCATATTGAATTTTGTTCCCTCTTCAAACTAGAAAACCTATTTAATACTTTAATAGTCTATGTCACTGTCACTCTTAGAAAATTTTTAACAATTCTGAGTGGTACAAACTCTAAAACTTAGCACCAGGTAGCACCTTTCTCATCTCCCACCTCACAGCCTCGTACTCTCTTCAATCTTTTCTTTTTCGTTTAAGTACCAAGTGAATACTCAGAAAAGCTTCCGTTGAGATCAACTTTAGCGTTGTACAGCACAAAGCCCAGAGTTCTACTTATAACTTCTCAGCTGGAAACACACATATAAACATACACTACTGAGAATGTTTTAATGTCTGCACTTTCACCAAGTCCAACTACATAAACTGTCGTATTTCTCTTCTAGCAAGCTTTAGAATCCAAACTCTACATCCAGTATCCTAACATTATGCTTCTGTTGGTTATAAAAAAAAAAAAGCTGGGTATGCATACATAGTGATCTCAGCTAGTTGTGAGGCAAAGGCATAATCCTAAATTTGATGCCAGCCTGAGCAACCTGGAGTCTCAAAGGCTGCAGATACAGCTCAGTGATGAGTGCTTGCCTGAAGCGGTATGCTTGGGTTCAATTCCTAGTACCACAGCAAAAAGTGAAACAAAACTCCACCAAAGCAAACTTAGGAAACCAAACAAGTGTCCTCGCATTTTGAGACAGGGTCTTATATAGTTCAGGCTGACCTCAAACTTCCAGCAATTCTCCTGGCTTCAGCCTCCTGAGAGCTGGAATTACAGGTGTGTGTCACCTTGCCCAGCTTAAGTGTCATTTAACTGAAAAATTTGAGTTCTCTATTAAAAAAATGTTTCACATGTAAAAATATTTTCTATTCAGAAAAATGAGGCAAGAGCATCTCTAGATGGGAGGCCAGTCTGGACTACAATTAAATAAGACCTTGGAATTCCAAGTTATACACGAAGGAGCCTTATATTACCTATACTCATTTCCGTTTGTGAAATGGAGGTTTCTTTCCTCTCAGTCATTGCATCTTCTAGCTGGGTGTGGTGGTACACACCTGTAATCCCAGCACTGGGAAGGCTGAGATAGGAAGGTCACTACAAATTTGAGGTCAGCCTGAGCTCCATAGTGAGTTCAAGGCTAGGCCTGAACTACAGAGCAAGGCCCTGTATCCAAAAAAAAAAAAAAAAAAAAAGTTATTTGAATCTTCTAAATTTTGTAGGACGCTACTGGCATAAGCAGTGAAAGCCAAAGCAAATAAAATGTAGTTAAAACTCAATCATACAAAATCATCTCTTGGTCACATTCAAACGAACAGTCACGCACAAAGAATCAAGACTAGTTTAAAAGGGGGGAGGGTCAAATTATTATTACTTTAAAATTTGATTACAACCAATTCTGTTGGCATTAAAATTAGAGACATTTTGAATTTGAATAATGGCTATATACCAAAACCCACAAATTAAGTTTGGTAAAAATGAGAACAGGAATTTTCCAACAATTACAGATTAGAAGGCAGAAATCAATTAGAGAAACACAGACAAACCCCATGTTTACAATGATTGTGCCACAGATTTAAACTTCAGTAGTGCATTAATAAACCATTCACATTTAGATCTTCACTTTGAGATTTAACAGCTGTTTCTTGAAAAAAATCTCTTAGTACCTTGTGCAAATAAATCAGTCTTCCATGTGCCTTAGCACAGTTAAAATTTGTCCACTATATATACAAAACACCTACCACACTGGCAGGGCAAAATACATACTTTCATAACAAAACTATAATGTACCTCTCAAATATGAACAATATACACATAATACATGGTATACAGTATTTACAAAATATAAAATACAAGCTGTATGTAACTCTAAACTCATCTTTTGCACTTGAATGGTACAAATTTCCACTTTCGTACCAATTTTCTTTTAAAGAGTCCAGGGATTTGGGAAAAACTATGTTTTACATACATACTAAAATCTAAGTTTGAACTTTCAGGAGCGTTTTTAAGTGTACTGCCATCAGCTCCCTATTCTGAATGGAATTTTCAATAGTGCTTCCCATCCAGTGACTAGGCGGCTTTGGAAGAACACTGGGAGAAGGCGGATCACTGAACTTTGCCCCAGCGTAATTTTCCTTTTGGCTCACTTCAGTAAGAAATGCTGATTTCTTCAAATGCATATTTTTAATGTTTTCAGTATTTTTAAAAGGCTTTTTTTCCTGCTTCTGAATTCCATCAGGCGAAACAGAATCCTGCCAAAAGTTATTTTCATTCCTTTTTGTAGAGGTGATCTTGGTTAGTGGCAAGTTATATTTGCTTTTCTGTCTGTTTGTCTTTGGTTGTTCACACAAGTGTATACCATGAACAAGTTGGCCGTGGGGAAGGGCAATTTTCTCCGATTTTCCCATCTTTGATTTTAAGACCTACGAAGACAAGAAACACAAAAGTGAGTACCACTTCAAGACAAAAATCACTAATAAACCTGACATGATGTATTATACGTATTTTTTTTTTAAAAGTTCAGTTTCACTGCGAGATGTCCAAATATGCAAGCCTTGTACCAGTACACAACATGAATTGGTTCTACGAAATTGACAACTAAAAAAACTAACCCAGTTCATCTTCTACGACCGTTAGGAAAAATAAAATAAATTCTCTACCAAATAAACACCGTGTAAAAAACACTTCCTGTCTACTACTTACCACCAGGTTTCAAAACTGCTTCAACTTGTTTCACAAATTCTGAATCACTTTCCCAAAGGTGCAATGTGATGGAAAAGTTAACATAACCATCGACCTCTCAACAGCAGAAATGGGGCTGGGCCAGTAGAACACAATAAGGTCATGCCCTCCAAGTTCACAAGGTCCCCTGCTAGCAGAACTTAAGGAATTTTACTGTCCAGGAAACAAGTACAGAAAATTCTTTAAATTGTCACTAACAGTTCAACAATCACGGAATTTCTCCCAAGACCGCTCTCAGTCCAGACATAATTCAACAAATGACAGTAACTTTTCATGTCATTATGAAACACAGTAAGTCACTGAAACTTAAAGTAAATAAACGTTTTATCCAGGCTTGGGGGCACAGGGCTGATATGGCAGCCCTGTTGGAGGTGGAGAAAGGATGGCAAATTTGAGCCCAGCATCGACAACCTAGAGATTTAAGACCTTGTCTCAATAAAAATTGGGCTGTAGATTGAATTCTGGGCGAAGGCCCGTGGTTCAAGCCCCATTACTCCCTTAAAAACATAACCGCCGGGCGTGGTGGAGGACGCCTGTAATCCCCGCACCGGAGGCTGAGGCAGGAGGACCGCTGCGAGTTCGAGACCAGCCTGGGCTACAAAGTGGGCTCAAAGCCAGCCTGAACTGCATAGCCAGACGTTGTCTCAAAAGACGCCCCCCCCCAAAAAGCCAAAAACCAAAAAACCCAATGAACCAAAATAACTCTCTAATCACATTAGATTTAATTCCGTTGGAATTCGGACCCACTTTATCCAAATTCAATAGCAGCGCAACTGGTCCGCAAATCGTCATTTCCACTGTTCACTTTTCTTGCGGAAACTTATTCTGGACACAACAAAACTACCGGCCATTTAAAAAGCCCAGGCCCGTACACATTCAGTTCCTTCGGCGGACTTCGCACACGAAATCCACCGCTTCAAAGAGGCCAGAACCCCGGGGCCTCTGCCGCCAACGCCCCAACTCCGGAGCCCCCGAAGCGGGTCAGACCCGCGGCGCCCAGAGCCCAGGACTCCCGGCCTCTCAGCGGAAGCCCGGCCACACGAAGGCGAGCCGCCGGCGGCCCCCACGGAGCCCCGCGGCCGGAGTGA